GATAAAGAAACAAGTTCTCCTACAGTTTACTCAGAGATTTTAGAGCCACCTTCACCTGAGTAAATGAAAACTGATAATTACACATACACACACACACATTTCAGGGACAACCAAGGTAGAGGTAATTTCAGAGTCTAGTCCAAAAGTAATACACAATATTCAAGAATTTTTATTCTTTCATATTCAAGTGAGACGCAAGGAAAGAAATAAAAATTCTAGTCCATTTTTCCTTAACACAGAATACAACACATAATTTTAACTGAAATTAAACCTCAATTTTCAAATTTATCATTATAAACTCTAGAAAAAGTAGCATTGAGTGATTCAGATAGTTTGACTATACAAAAACTATTTCTACAAATACAGTAAAACCTTCTGGAAAAACAGAATGACAAGAAGCCAGCACTTACTTGGCATAAACCACTGATGCACATATCCAAAGATTCAGTGTAGCAACGAGTCCCATCTAAGACCTTAGGTGATAGCTCAACAACCAGGGCTGTTCCTTTGGCCTGGCACTTCAGCGAACATGGGTTGTCGGGGTCATTAGACACAGGAAGCCATTCATAAAACTGGCCATGGTGCTTGACATCATTATGAGCTGAGCATTGCTGAGCACGGAAATCACCTGCTTCTGGTGGGCAGTCCTGGAGAAGAGAGGAGGAGGGGCAAACAGAGGTTAAGGGGCAGCCCCAAACAGTAAACTAAAGCAGGTATATGGTCCGTCAAGGTTTTAGAAAACAAAGCAAATATTTAGGTCATTATAGATGGACTCTCCCATATCATAAGAGGTTACAAAATTATTTGACCCTTAAAGTATAGCGGTTTCAGAAAATAATCATCTTGGAATATACTTTCTGATTGAAGTTAAAAGGGAAATAAGTCAACATGAAATCTAGTTAATATTAGTCAGGAAAGTAACCACCTTGAAATACATTTTCTGAAAGATGTTGATTAGTTGGTCCAGGGATTCTTCCACATTGTAGTATCATTTTGATTTCCTTATAACTTAAGTAGAACTTATTAAAGTCAGAGGGTTAGTTGAAAGCATCTCTGTTAATATTAAGAGCTATGAAATATTTTAGCAAATAGCAGCAAAAAGTTATGACAATTTCATTCAACAAATTTTGGTGGGGTTGTTGGTGATTTTTTTTCCTGAAACTTAGGCTGCATAGTATGTAGAATTAAACATGGGGAACAGAAAAAGGAAAAGAGCACTTATATGTAAATTTCTTTAGCTTAAGGCGGCATAGCAGAGTGGAAAGATATGAACTTCTTCTGCAGATGGGAGTGTGGCTGCAATGTGGCGGGACTCTCTGAGCCTAGGTTTCCTTATGTTTAGAACAGAGGCAATAATAATACTCAGCTCTTGAGGTTATTCATTGTGAGAATTTCATGAGCTTACATCAGCCAAATACGGACACAACTACGATGGTACATAGTAGCTATTACTGTGATCATTTAATGAAGTCATGGAGAGAAAGAGCTGGAGACTTAGGTGAGTCTCTGAATGTGAATTTTAAATATGGTTGGCAGAGACCAGAGGAAAACAAAAATGTTTTAAATGTGTATTTTATAAAGGGCATTTTTAAATGTAAAACTGTAACTAACAATGGCTATTATCTAATGAATGATAAACTTTAGTGAAAGCAAATAAGATTTAACTTTAAAAAGGCAAATATTGCCTATCCTTCATATAGAATTTTTGATAGATCTATTTTATTCTACATGTATTCAGATTAGAATGTACTATATAGAATAGCCATCTGTGGAACAGCTTTTATTATAGCTTTTACCTCAAATAAGGAATTTGCATGTGGTCTTTAGAGTCCTAGTTACTATGTTATCATTTTTTAGAGTTCTCTTATACAAGTTTTCTTTCTGTGAAAATCTTTTTACATTTAAATAAGAATTCTGAGAATAGCATTACTTTCTTTCATAAAATGGAATTCCTGACTCTCCTTCTCAAATTTTAGTCGTATTATTAAGTAGCATATAAGGTTGTCATATTTGAGGAAACATAAATTTTCCCAGCAAGATGGGGTATAAAAAAATTAAATACTTATTTAGGATGAACATTAATAGCTCAAAATATAAACTCTCAAAGGAATTTTACTGTTAGTATTATATACATTCTCAGAGTTAATAAAATGTAGTACTGAAGAAAAAGAATAATTTATATAACATAGGTATAAATACATAGGTACCCAACAAGGCTTAAGTGATTTTGAATATCATCTGAAAGGTACAGTTAAAATTCATTACTTATTAATTTCTTAAATGATAAACTAAAGTTTAAATTTTCTAAAAAGATAAATGTGTATTATACTTTGTTGTGATATTTACTTGTTTGTTGTGAGAAATAAAACAAAAACGCAACCTGCAAAACTATGCTATGAATCACAAAACAGGAAAATTGTATGACAGGCAACACAAACTGCCTGAACTTAAATGTTTTTAATAACGACTCCTTTCAGGCCATGTGTTCCAAGACAAGAGCAGAAACAAACCGATTAACTCTTCATTCCAAGGACAAGACTGCAAGTTTCTTAGATGACAACTCTTACCAGTCTCTACCCAGACCTCAATTACTAGCTTTTGACCTAAAATAACCCTACAACTTACCCAGACTCTACCCACCATCTTCTGTAAATTCCCCCATCTGACACATTACAGAGACTGTTAAGGTGCTGCTCCCTCTTGTTTAGCAAGTTTCATAAAACCAGCTTTATACGATCAAGTCTCCTTGGTGGCCATTGCCTGGGAGCTTCCAGTTGAACTGGGAGTTTCATAATGTTTAAATAAAGTGTTTTCAGTTGCCTATTACCGGTTATCCCAAGAGTCACTTGATTACTCAGTAGTACAGAAGAAATACTGAAGTGGACTCAATAAAGCAGAACACTGAGGAAATTGTTTAGAACAATCCCAAACCCCTCTCATAAATATTTTACTTTCTCTATCTATAAGAAAAAGTGAATCAGCTACAGGAGATTTCAGGGTCAGGCTGAGTCACCTTGGCATTAAAGTAATAAGGGTAATATATAATTAAAGGACAGCTTAGTATGAACCAGAGATAATTTTCTGCATTTATCCAATTACAAAAAAAAGAGTGTCATTACATTTTAAACTTGATGTTACATGATCTTAGTACAGACATAAAACTCCTACAGAGTTTCTTATGAATCCCTTCTGTTAAACAAAATGTGTTAAGTCTTCCCATTTTTACTAAAATAAATAAGACTCAAAGGGAAAACTAGTAAAAAGTGAAGTTAAAATATTAGGTCTTTTAGGTTTTTTCTGTGAAAAAATCAATAAACTTAATTAGATACATCACAAAGAATCAACGAGCAGACAGATGTTCCTGTTCAAAATTCACCTGTCTCTAATAGCTGGAAGAACACCTGTTACAGGTTTTATAAACTTTCACAACCGGAGAAATATCTTTGAGAATAATTTTTGTGAATACCTTTACCTGTTTTTATCACTACTGTCTTTCCTTCTACTCATATTTGTGTAGGGGTGGGAAACTATAATTTGCTCAATTGAGAATACACTTAAAACCTGAAGTTCAGAGTTGGAAACTGAACTTGAATTTTTAATGTTTGAGTTTATTTCTACTTGGCAAAATATAACTTCCTGTTTTAAGAAAAAAGACTTAAGAGGACCTATAAAACAGGTTCAGAAAGCTTCTTGGACATCAAATAGCTCTTACAAAATGACATTTTGATGATTTAAGTGTAAATGAATTAGAAACATATGAATCAAATTTCCCTTGAAATACGCATGTTTAAAAATTAAGGAAAGAAGGATTTGGAAAAAGTTTCTTTTGCTGAACCCAAAACATTTCAAGCATAGCTCAAGACACTCACTGAACTCCTGATGCATCTGGGATCACCCAGCTACAGGACTGGAAACTCAAGCAAAGTCATCATAGACTCCTGTCCCACACGTATCATGATAGTAATTACAACAGAATAACTTGTATTTGTATAGAGTTTTAAATTATAATTTAATCCATGAAACCACTATATTTCTTGATCTTCCTAAAATTCAGTTTAGAGACTGATGTCCTAATTGCTTTGAAAAATATTTAACATCTTATCCTGGATATCATCTTTGAAATATCAGCTTCTGGAGAAATGCTCGATGATATCATAAGTCCTCGGTTCTGAGCATGAGAGGTGGTTTTCCTCAGGGAATACTGAATGTAGGGTTTACTGAATATAGACAATGTGAGATTTCTACTCTCATAAAACCTCGGTGATAGGAATCACAAGTTTTCAATTGGGATATTTAAACCAAAGAAGAAAAAAATTATTATTTATATACTTAATCATTAAACTTGGCTCATAGGTGGTAATGATGAAGACAAAATTAATGAAAAGTCTAGTGGCTATTTGAACCAAACATATCCCCCACCAAGAACCTGGCAAAAAACATGATGTGGGAAGAATGCACTGGACTAAAGACCCTCAACTTCCAGTCCCTCATATATCTGCAGAAACACCATCCAGCAGAAATAGTGCGCGAGAGAGCAAAATAATGTATTTCTTGGTCTTCTATTTCTAACTAACTTTAATACATCTGTGGATTGGAAACTCTGTTTTAGGCTACTGAGCTAGGACTTTCTCACTCTGAAAAAACGTTTTATTTCAAATAGTCAGATGATCGTATGAATTATTGTTATTTAGCTATTTAATACAATTAATAATTTTTCTCTCCAATTGTTAAGTACTCGATCCTAACTGTGTCAGTTTTTTTCTTTAAAAGCAGAAAAATAAAATCTGACCTTTTACATGCTTCCATTATAATTCATAAAGTCTGTGGAGCCTTGCCATATATGAATCCAATTCAAAACATTTTCTGGTTAATCAACTAGCCAGTGGGAAAGATAAGATGGATCCCAGATGTCCCCTGATGATGATAGGTGGATCAGATTACACTGTGGGACAAAAGAGGGTCAGGCTTCCCAGAGTTTACCGGGTGAAATATAAGAGATTACATCCCAGCAGCTAAGGTGGCAGCATCTGAAAGGCCTTTAAAATGGTTTTGAAAAAATATACAGAATATATATTCAGGGTCAGGAGAAACATCACTTTTTACTTTTCTTTTTTTAAAGAAGATATTCTCCTTCTCGAGGGACATCTCTCTGCTTTACCTTTATCTTTAAATATTCAGTGGTTGGCTTTTTCTGCTAATTTTGCTGTTTCATTGAAATTATGAATTATTATGAATGCTTTGGTATAAATGCCATATTCCGATTCTATGCTTTTATTTAAAGTCAACATTAATACATGATAGTATCAAGAAAACACTGGAAATTATATTTAGGTGATCATATGTACTATAGTAACTGAAGAATCTATTCTTCTCACGGCATTTCCCTGTCTTGCAACTGTTTTTCTCAATTCTGTATCTACCCTCTATCCTGCCATAATCACTCATCCTCCATAAAAGTTACTGTGCAAGAGCAGTAGATTAGAATTGTTTAGTAAGGCATGTACTCTATCCTCCAGCAATCTTGAATTGTAACTTTATGATGTAAATATATGTAGAAATTTATCAGCTCCTTGGTGACCTTAGAAAATCTTATCATTTCTAAGATTTACTCTCAAAATATTAGGAATCGTCGACAGACTGATCATAA